AAATTAGATTTAAATTTTTTTACCAAATTGTAGAGTTACCATGCCGTAATAAATTTCACCAGAGTAAATGTTTAATTAGTTTCGGTACTCAGATGTTGTGTAGTTTTGACACTAATTTGGTCACATTTTTCAAAAATTGATTGTACCAAAATTTCGGAAAACTACTTAATTTTTCTCCCGCCTTATTGACGGTGGGCCGATTTTAGTGTACGCTCCATTAAGAATCCCCGAATTCCGGAGGTGACACTTTCCTCCAATATTTTTCATCTCGCAACAGAAACGGGTCTCTCTTAACAAGAGAGAGCAAGCTAATGGATGGATGGAGCATCTGATGACAAATTTACGACCCACAACTGCTTCCTTCCTTATTTCAACACACATTCCATCCATTTCTTTCCACCATGAAGGGCCAGGGACCCAACGGATAATGTGTCATCAAAATTTGCATAATTTTTTTAAACGAAATGATACCAAGATTTTGGTCAAAATAATTGTTAGATGAAAAGGTTCCTAAATATCAATTTGTAAAAGAAATCTGATTAGAGAAATATTCAATTTAATTTCGTAATATTTATTGCAGACTGGTAAATTTGGGAAAGTCTAGATTAGCGCGACATTGAATTGGTTATGTAAATATTATTTTTAGTCGTAACGGATTACGGATTACAGATTAAATCGTTGGGAAAGTTTACTTTTGAGATTATTTTACCTGTAAAATTATTGAAGTGGATTTTAACTCTTGGATTGTATTGGGTTACGGATTACAGTAATGTGAGGATTATTTTTCGGATTACGGGATTAAAAACTAATATCAAAAGTTTTTAATATAATACAAAAATATCTCAGCTTGTTTTAAATATATAAAAAATAGTTTTAACTCAAAAGAAAAATACTCCAGAAATAATTTAATCCACAATAAGATTACATTTTCTAATCAAGAAAGAAGTCGTTGATTACGTTTTTCGTTGTTGAGTAATTTTTCGATTTTTATGAGATAACTGAATTTTTGAGCCTAATAATCTTTGATTAATTAATTAATCAATTAACATAATATCAAAAACATTAGAGGATGTCGCACCCAAAACGATGACATATTTTGTCACCGGCCCCCGGAAACAACATTAACTTTTACTGCTCCTCCTCAAGAAAGGATTAATTACGGGGAGGGAGACAAACAAGGTGGCATAAATCACGTAAAAAACACGCTAAAATGTCACCAGTTCGATGTCACATTCTCCAATTTCTCGGGTCACGGATCCAATCAATTCTCCCCACTTTTTGAGCCCAAGCAATAAAAATTATTTCCTAAAATAACACAACACCAATAAAAAGGCTAATAAACTAGGAATCGCGCGAAGTGCAAAAAATTACGGACATCAAATTAAAACCACTTCAAATTAAGTGGGAGGTTGAACCTGTCATAGTAAATTTTGATTATTTAGTAAATTGGTAAGTTTACCGGAAACCTCAACACAATTAATTCTTTAATAAATTCATTACCGGGAAATTTAAATTTTGTGCGAAAATGGTAAAAAATTACTAACTCTTGCAAAGTGAACTTAAATATTTATGCAATTTCTTTTTATTATTTACAATTTAATGATACTAATTTTCCTGCGAAATTCAAATCTGCTACCAAACCGGTAAACTATTTACCAAATTTCACAATTTAAGTCTGATTTACTACAAATACATGCACAATCAATTCAAACTAAAATTCCACATTTTACCACTAATTTCCCCACGAAATTCAAACTTGTTACCAAACCGTTACCAAACTATTACCAAAACCTGGACAATGCATATCTACAAAACCTGCCACCTAGTAATTTATCTCTCCAATAAATATAATCACTTCAAAAAGTCCCATAACACATTTCAACATTTCATAAGGAATGCGTCCTATATTTTTCTCGGTTCGGTATATATTCTACCCGGTAATGCCCGGTTAGTGTCATCATCATCATCATGACGGTTTTTGCTGGATGGGAAATCATATTTTCTCGTGCTTCTGCTTGCACGTTGAGAGGCTGATGAGGTGGTGAAACGAAATTCGTTAATAATCCTCCTCGTCCTCGTCGTGGTGCCGGAAAGCAGAGTAATCTTATTTATGACACTTGTGTCAACGGCGCCTAACGAGGAACATCATTTACTCTGACGGCTGCATACTCATCATGTCACCCCGTCTCACAGCCACCTGAGATAAATTAGACCCGCCAGAGATTACGGACAGTTACGTAGCGCAGAAAAATCCCGGGATGTGTGTATAGTTAAGTTGCACTGTAAATAATGCGGGGGTAAAATTGGGGATGAGTGTGTCGGTAAAGAAAATTTATCTAGTACGTAACAATTAGATTGCGTATGAAGTTTAAATTTGTTCCCGCCCTTGGAATTTATCCAGTCGGTAACGGTTCGATTTGAAATTTAAACTTCCACCCCCGCAATTTGGTTAGGTTTAATTAAATTAGTTGCCTTAAGTTTCCTGCACAATTATTTTCATTGTGTTACCGAGTTTACCGGAATTATTGTAACGAGTCGGTAACGATTTGGTAATAAGAAAGACTTGGGCACGAAATTAAAATCTGTAATCGATTTACCAAATTTAAATTTTGGACCAATTATTTTTACCGGTCCTTAACAAATTTTTTTACCAACGTAAATAATTCGGTAACACGGTTACCAATGTGACTGTTTAAAGAACTTGATAATAATTTACCATTTCAGTTACAAATCCAAATTTCGCGGAGAATAAACGCACCCTATAAAAACGTGCTCTATCAAATTAAATGACCATTTGGTCTAAATTTAATCATTATTTTTACCAAGTTACCACAAATTTTAAACTTCCCTCTAACCTATTTCGTCTCACATTACCCCCACCCCTATCATCACACTCATTCCCAACAAGTAACACTTTTCTCCCGCATGACTCTCACACGGGATTTTTATGCCTCTCTCCGTCCCTACCCGGGTAGTTGGTTGACAGATAAGTGGCCCGTTATAAATGAGTGTCTTGCCTCAACTTGGGAGCGATTAGTGGTCGTCCATCACTGTCGGAGCTGTCCTCACTGCCACCAGGTCCGCATCAATCATCGCGCGACCAAATTACGAGACGCAGAAGGCTCAAAACATGCAAAAACAAGGCAGAATAAAAGGAAAAGTAATGACGTGAGATGAGCCCAATGAAGATTCATGATGGGACGAAAAATACCCCTTTCACACCAACCACCATATGCACCAGCCAGCCAGCCAACTAATATTACCACCCGGTTGTGGTCTGCTCTGCAAGTCGTGGCGTGGTTGTACTAATTAATCCCGGGACGAAGATGCGTTCCCGGAAAAGGGAGGGTATTTATTACAGGAAAAACTGATTTTTAGCAGTTTGGTAACATTTTACCGGGAATTGTTTTTCCTAATTTGGTAACATTTTTTATGACGTTGCAATTTAGGCTTTTGTTACCAATTTAGTCCTATTTAAGTACAGCAAAGTGTGTAATTTTATCTGGATTTCTAAATATACATATTTTTAATGGTCAAGATAAAGACAGTTTACCAATTTGATGGTACATATTTTACCATGAAATGATCTTATTTTTTACGAAATGTGAAAATGCTAATTTTTTTTGGAAAAATTTGGCAAATTATTTATCTCGCCCTGCGTAGCATGAATTCCTCTTTTCTGTCTGTCTGTCCGGTTTTTTACACGAATTCATTCTAATTTAATAAGACCTGATCTCCGTTTTCTAAGCGTCGGTAATAAATGCGTTACCAAAAATATGTACCAAAAATATTTTACCAAATACCAAACCCTACAAGTTTTGACATCATCGTTTTCACCGAATTTTACCAGACATGCAGGACACATATTTTCCTAGAAATTTTGACCCTCACATGCCTCCTGTTGTAATTAAGACGTTCCGTAGCCTTGACATGGATGGCGACATTCTTCCCGCAGGGTCCGTGAGATTGACTCATTAATCATGCACAAGTTGGAAGTGGACCAGTTGTTGGAGAGGAAGAGTTGTTGGTTCAGAATAAATCTTAATAAACACATTTGTCAACGTCTAATTTAGATTTATCTCCCACGTCCAACCAACTATCCCCCCCTTCAAAATGCAGTCCACTCTGCTCTTCTTACTCATTTTAAACGAGCAGTTCACTCCAATTTTTGTAACCTGGTATAATTTTGGGCGTACTCACTCTTGCTCATTTAGCAAAATTTGCAAAAGCTCATAAAATTTATGCGGTGTGAGAGGATTCGCAAAATATGAGTCTTTTCAAAATACAGTCACCACTCTCCTTACGTATCTTCACGTTTTAAACGAGCAATTCACTCCAATTTTTGTAACCCGATAAAATTTTCGGCGTACTCATTCATGCTTAGGGTTGCGTCTTATTTAGCAAATTTGCCAAGCTCAAAAATGTATGTTGTGTGAGAGGATTGGCAAAATATAAGTTCGCAAATCTCGCAAAGCTACTTATTTATTTTAAAAAAACACAGATTTTGATGGTTTTTCCATGATTTTTAAAAAATTTCTCTTCTTTTAGTTTAGGTGATGATGAAGATCAGTTTGCCAAATAATTTTGCGAAATATTTAAAACATGCCCATTTGCTGGGTAAATTAGTCAAAAAATTTTATGGTTTTTCAGCAAAATTTTTTCGAAAATTCGACGTCCGCCGTCCGAACATATAATATTGATATTTAAAACACAACGAATTTTATAAAAATTATAGATTCGACGTGAAACTGTGTGAAATTATTTTATATTTTAGTGTTATTTTATTTTGAAGCGCAATTTTTTAAAGTTTACACAGTTTGCGCAAATTGAAGTGAATTGTGGATATTTGAATTGTAACATGTGACTTGAGTACTTATAAAGTTACAAAGCTTAGCGTGAAGCGTGAGTTTTTTTCAACTTTATTTATTTATTTATTTAGTTTTAATCTTAAAACTAAAAGGCAAACACATTGAGGTTTGCTTCCTAAAGTTTGAAAACATATTGCGTTACAAAAGTTAAGAGATATGCCAAATTCTATCTTAAATTTTTCAACTTTTAGAGATTTTGTAATTTTACAGGATTTTTGTACCTAAAATTGTTGCACATAAAATTACAAAGGTTAGCGTGAACCGGAAAATTTTCTTTGTTTATAGTGTAAAGAACTAAAGTTTTAAAGAAATTTGTTTTTTAAAGAAATAAAGCCGTAGTAAATTTGTTTTTAGTGTATTTACTACAACTTTATTTCTTCATTTTAAAATTAAAATGATGCCATCAGGATATTCGTTTAAAATGTTTTGGCAAAATGTTGTGTTACACAACATTTTGTTACATTACACAACTTGTGTAATTTTACATGATTTTTGTACCTACTTACAATTTGCATAAAATTACAAAGGTTAGTGTGAACCAAGAAATTTCATTTGTTTAAAGTGTATTTATTACAACTTTATGTTTTCATTTTAAAATTAAAACTATTCCATCAGAACATTCGTTTCAAAATTTTGAGAATTGTAACATTTTAAAGGATTTTTGTACTTAAAATTGTTGTCCACAAAATTACAAAGGTTAACGTGAACTTTTAATATTAACGTTAAAACGGTTTCATAGGAGCAATCGGGGCAATAGGAGCGATCGGCTCGATAAACGGTTTCTCCTTTTTCGGCTGAACTTTGACCTTTTTCGGTGGTGGAGGTGTGGTTGTTGTGGTCACCACAACTTCCGGTTGGCCAGTGCTTTCTTCGACTGGGACGCTGTCATTTCCTTCCGTGGTTTCTTCTTCTTGTGGCGTGACGTCGTCTCCTTCTTCGCTTTTCTCTTCGTCTCCTTCGTCACTTTGCTCTCCGGATTTTTCGCCTTTTTCGTCACCTTTTTTGACAATTTTTTTCCCATTGTAATCATAATCATTGACTTGCTCGTTGGATTCGTTGGAGCCTCTTTCTTCAGAAGCTGGAGATACCTGAAAAGTCAAGGATTATATAGTTTAGATAAAATTTGAAGATTTTTGAAATATTCAAATTTGCCCTTATAAATTTTAAAATCTTGAAAAATTTGGATGAAGGAATTTGAAAAATTTTTGCTGTACAAAAATGATAAACAACCGATATAAAAGATACACTTAACCTGAAACAATTAATGTTATACAGCTTAAAATTATAATTTTACACTTTTAGGCATTTTAGCCCGGCAAATTTGTGAACTGTAAATTTTGTTTTTGCAAAATTATACTATTTTTTGGCTTAATCAAATTTAGAAATTTTGGGTATACCAAATACAAAAAATAATAAAAATATGAGTATTCTGAAAATTTAGTTTTCCAAATTTTAAGCTTTTATAAATATGAAAACTAAGACCTGCGGACATAAAATCTAAAAGTAATTTTAGTAAAACAAAGTCTAGTTTTTCAAATTGGCATTTCAACTTTACAAATTTTAGCAAATTTACAAAATTAAAAAAAAATGACTTAAGTATATGAAATTCAAAAATTAAAAACACAAGCAACTACAGAGCTATATAAACAAATAGTCACAAGAAAGCAGTAGAAGCTAAACTGAAACAATTTGTAGCCTTGACAAATTTAACAACTTAGGTTGTACAAAATTCTACAATTTTTTCGATTTTGTCAAACTTGAAAAATTTTCACAAAAATAAAATAGAGAAAATTTAAATTTAAATTATTATGAAAAATTTAGAAACTTTTGTCTTTAATAAAAACCAAAGCCTTTATGAATATGACAATTACGCCGGGATCAATGTACAATCTGAATTTATTAGTCATTGAAGTCTAACAACTCTGCACTTTCGAAATTGGGATTTAAGCTTTCAAATTTGAAAAAATTGGGTAACAAATTTGAAAAATTTTGGCTTAACAAAGTTAAACAATTTTGGCTTAAAAATGAACATTTTGACTTGACAATATTCAAAAATTTGGACTTAAGAAAACTGAAAACTTTTGACTTTCCCAAATTTTCCTGCAATCTCAATTATTTTTCAAACTTACATCATCGATATCCTCACTTGGTGGTGTTACGGGATTATCGGGTTCTTCCGTCTCCCCATTCGTCACATTTGAAGATGAAGACGAAGTAGTCACTTCCGGTGCAATGGTCACTGACGATGGGGGCGTCTCATCCTCCCCTTTTTCCACAATTGGCTAAATTAATTCAGATGACAAATTAATGAGACAATTCGTAACTTTGTAAAAACCGTAAACTTTGTAAAATAATTTTACAAACTTTTACAAAATAAAGAGACGCCCTTGATATGAATAAGTTTAAAAAAATTACGAGCTAATTTTTCTTACAAATATTTGTAAATTTTGTAAAAGTTTGCAGAATTTATTTACGGAGTTTGTAAAGTTACGAAGACCTAAGTGAATTCCTTTACTAAAATATTAGCCCTCTAGATAATATTAGGTATAGCATTGTGCTGTAAAATTAATAACTTCTGTAAACTTACAAACTTTTTCAAACTTTGACAAATATTTCTGAGGAAAATTAGCTCAAATTATTTTTTTAAAACTTACTCAGATTTCTGGCGTCTCTTTATTTTGTAAAATTTCGTAAAATTTTTCTATAAAATTTACACATTTTACAACATTACTAATCCCCACGTGAATTGTCTCACAAATTTAAATCTGATACAAAATTGCATGCACTTTTTCAAAATTAATTTCTCACCTGTCCCGAATTCCCCTCGATGCATAACCCCACCACAAAAAATACAATTAAAACTTTCACCTCCATATTTAAAAATGTTTGAAAAATTTTGCAAAAAATATGTACGTGCAAAAATTATGAAAATATATTTAAGCCCAACAATTAATAATTATTTGCCTACGAGTCGGCAGGAAACGGGAGAAAAAATGCATAAAAATTGCATAAATTTCCATTCACATTTTATTTACGTTCCATTGTTTCTCTTTTTCCAACTGTGCAGCAAGCATGTCATCAATTTAAGATATTGAATTTGTCATATTTTCTGGAAATCGAGGACTTGCTTTATGCATGCACGGCCACAAAAGACGTTTAAACAAAGGGCCAATTATTCCAATAAATTAAAATGAGGGACACATTACATTGTGACGCGTGCTTAAGCCTGTCTAATAGGTCGTCGACGTATGTAGCAATAAGAATAACGCACTTTACATATTCTCCATAAGCACATAGTATTTAACAATAAGCGTAAAATTATTGATTTACCTATTTTTTAAATTAAATTATATTTAGAATTAATTAATCAATTAATTAAAGTAGCCAAATGTAACCCATTGCACACATTCTTTATAAATACATAGTGTTAAACAATAACTGAAATAATTTACTTATTTTTAAAATTTAATTTTAATTATAATTATAATTACAATCAATTGATTAATGAATCAAATTATCCTGTTAGAACTATTTATGCTAAAATTGTGATCTACGTTATGTAAATCAATTTTAATAAAAATAAATTCAAATGTATTCGACTTTTAAACTTGACAAAATACTCATTCCGAATTAAATTTTTCGTTTTGGTAAAATTTTTAAATTTAGAACTTTATAAAGTGCGACACGAGGTTTTTTTGCATTTACTCAAAATAGAACCTTTTTTAAAGCTATATCGGGATCGTGCAGCGAGTTACATAAAAAAATCAAGCCAAAAATTAGGAACCACGTGACGCTTATGTTTCCGTTGAATGGTCCATTTGAATAAAAATATTGGGGGCAAAGGTCACGCGCCCGCGTTGGTTTGAGGAAACAACGAGTAAAAATTAGCTTGAAAATTGAACTTTGCCGCCAATCTTTTCTTCAAATGGGCCATCCAATAGACAGATAAGTGTCACGTGGTTCCTACTTTTTTTGAGATAACTCAACACAATCCAGGTGTAGCTTGAAAAGAAGGTTTCATAGTCAATTTGAAAATTAATAAAAATACAAAGGAACAAATCCCAAGTCTTCGAACGAAAGGTTTGATAATTGAGCCTCTTGGTCAGAAACTTTTGACTTGATTTCGAACGATTAGAGCGAGGTCTCCCAGCGTATGCTCTCCGATTTGGACCAAACTAGTGTCAATCGATCACAAATTTAATAAATTTGAAGTGTAAAATTTGTCAACTTTAAGGCACGTTTTCTCCTCTTCGGATGCAAATATCTCTGCCAATGGGAAATGGTGTCTTTTGCAAATTTTATATAAATACAATTTTATAAAATAATTAAAATAAGAATTTTATTAATTGTAATTAATAAAATGATAAATGGCATTCCAAGTTCCATACGGATCTGAGCTTAGCACAAATTCGATGCAATATTCCAACAAGAATTTAATCCGTCGTTGAAGTTGAACAATTTGAAATTCTAGCAGAAACATATTAAATATTACATATTTGTCAAGTTTATTTTAGTTTATGGCACACTTTCTTCACTTTGGATGCAAATATCCGACCCAAACGTGACCATTAGGAGATTGTTTTTTTCCAAATGTTCTGTTTAAATCTATGACCGATTGACACTAATTTGTTCAAAATTGGAGAGCATACGCTGGGAAACCTCTTCTGTTGAATTTGACAATTACAATAACAATTCTTTGAATGGGAGGTTTGATTTCATAAAAATGAGGTTTTACATTAATTATCATACTGAATATAATGCGAAATTATGAAGTTACAAATTCATAAATCATGCATGTATCACATTGTTATGGTTTATGCACTCTAGAAATCCTGTATTAAAATTATACCAAGCGGTATTCATGCATGACTAGCAAAGTGGTATTAATATAACTAGGCATTAAAGTATTACCACATTGGTAGAGAATTTTTACACACCAGTATAATTTTAATACCAAGCAGAAGCAACTTTAATACCGAGAAATTAATACCAGACTTCTAAGTGTGCAAATTAGAAATTTCCAAAAATCAGATTAAGTAATGCTTTTCATTAGCAGAGTTATAAAATTTAGTTTGGATTAAAATTTGATTGATTGGTAGCAAATTTTTACGAAGCGGTATAATTCTAATACCCAACGTTCATATCGAGAAATCTGTATCAGATTTCTATATTGTATTGTTTTTAGTTCAGTAACGAAACTTTTTGATTAGAATTAGAAATCAGTAACGAAACTTTTTGATTAGAATTAGAAGGCATCCCTCGTTCCTATACCTGCTGTAACATAATTAGTATATATTATTAAAATCCCGTACACTTTAAGGCGTCAAAGTTTGCCAAGACTGAAATTTTGAAAACATTTTACCTATCCAAAAATTGTTTTATTCTGCCGTATTTATTTTATAAATATTTACCACAATTTTACATGTTTTAATGCATCACGCAGTGTTTGGCAACTTTGTAAAATAATTTTACAAGCTTTCACAAAATAAAAAGACGCCCTTGATTTGAGTAAGTTTACAAAAATTTGGGAGCTAATATAACCTTCGAAATATTTGTAAAAATTTGCCAAAGTTTATAAATTTACGGATTTTACAAAATTACCAAGACCTGCGTGACTTGCCTCATTTAATTTACTATTTAATTTCATCACTGGTGAAATGAAGGTAAAAAAGCTCACGTCAGAATTTGTAAACTTCGCAGCCGGATAACAAAATTAGAATTTTGCGAATTACTCTGCATCAAAACAGATTAAATCCTGTTTACATCGCAAATTGTCGAAATTGTTCAATAATTTGCAGTTTACAAAAGTTTTACATTTCCTTAGAAATATTTGTAAACTCTTATAAAAGTTGATAAGTTTACGGATTTTACAACGTTACCAAGGCCTGCGTGAATTTTCTCAAAGTTTTATCAAAGTAAACCTTATTTTGCTAATTTCCTGACCTTTCTTATATTGCTGAGCTTTAATTCGTCATTTATGTAAAAGCGTAATTTTAAACGTACGTAACTTTATGACAAAATCAAATAATTCACTTCTGTAGTTGTAACGCAGTAAAAACTTTGTAAATACTTTTTGCACAAAGGTTTGCATCAAAAATGATTTTATACTTACTGAATTATTCAAGTACATAATTAGTTATGCTTTACAAATCAAATATTTGTTCGAATATTTGTAACCTTGTAAACCCCATAAACTTACAAAATATTGCAAAAAGCAAAGCTCGAAAACGTAACCTTTTTGGCCAATTAGACTAGTAAAATTTGATTTCTTTTCAGTTTCGGAGTTCTAATTTGACGAAAAAAATTATTTTAGACCTAAATCTTAAATAAAATAAATTCACTTCAATATTTTAGCGCAGTATACTTTGTAAAAAAAAATTAAACAAAGTTTTTTTCAAAAATTCTCTTCAATAATGTTTAGTAACTAATTTTATACTTAATTAATCAATCAAGCACTTATAACCTACGTGAATTGCGTCGTTTAATTGGCTTATTTAATTTCACCTCGTAAAATAAGGACGAACTCGAGTCAAAATTCGTAAACTTCACAACCCAATAAAAAAATTTTTAATTTTATGATTCGTTCAATCATTTAAAACAGATGAGGTGCCATTCAAGGTGTAATTGTACATAAATTGTTCCAAAATTTGCGATTTACAAAATTTTTCGACAAAACTCTACTAAAGTGGAACTGATAAGTATTAACGTCTAGTAATAGCTTGGTATTAAAGGTTTACGATATCAGTAGAAAATTTGTATAATTTTACTACCAAGCGGTAGCAACTTTACTAGTGAGAAATCAATACCTCCCTGACTACTTGACTATATAAGATTTCTAAAAGTGTGGTAATGGTAATCGGTCGTGGGGTAATAATATATTTAATAATAATAAAATAACTCAATGCAGTTTTTACGGACCGGTACAATTTTACTACCGGCAGCAGTTAATACCAAACGGTTACAACTTTACTACCGAGAAATAAATACCTGCCTGACTTTACCAGATTTCGAACAGTAAAAATTCTCAACTCGATGGCATGGAACCCTTTCTTTTACAAGGATATCAACCTCAATGCCAATTATCCAGACAAGACCTACCTGAACTACTACACAGACAAAGAGGTTTAACTGGTCAATACTGGATTCACTTATTCCAAATATTTAAATCCATGATTGATTTGTTTGTTTCATTTCAAATTACAAATTCCGATTCAAATCCAGAGTACATTTCCAGACAGCGATGAATGACACCATAATAAATACATAAAATTTCGTCTGTCTCCTTCCCAGCCTAGAAATGTATGCACGTCAAATAAATAAATAAATTACCATCAATTTTCAAATTTCGGGAAATATTCGGCATTTTAATTCACCAGATTTTCTTTCTATTTTGCACAAATCGAATTCGCAAAAATGTCTGCAAAACATTCCCCATCAGATTGAGACCAAATGAAGGGACATTTTCCAAATAAAGTTCCCCAATTTTTCCAAATTTTGAAAAAATATTCAGAAATTTCTTCTAATTTTAATTCAACAGATTTGGTCCTCCTGCCCAAATAGATTTCGCAAAAATAGGTTTTGAAAATGTTCCCAAGACCAAATGAACAGATGCTTGTTAAATTTTCTCAAACAAATTTCCTCAATTTTTTCAAATTTCGCTAAATATTCGACACATTTTTTTCCTTTTTTTTAAAAAGTGCAATTTTCGCAACAAGTGAATTTGCAAATTTGCCACCCCCCACCAAAAATGTCATTTTATCAAAAGTCCGACGTGACGTGAACGTCCCAGCCTCGTGATCTACTTTTTCTCCGCATTGCTTAATCTTGCACGTTACGACTTTCCAAAACAATGGATATTTCACCCTCTTCTTGTTTTTTAACCTTCCTCTCGCTCTCCACCGCGTGGCGTCATCAGTTTGAAAACTTGATCTCATTACTTTCCGCTAAAATGACAATAAAATGGGTAACATCTCACCTAAAACAATTTAATCGAGCATGCTTCCGAATTAATTTGTCGGGGTGGCCAAAAATTAAAATTCAAGTATTTATTCAAGTACACAGTAACAATTGCTTTGGAGCAAAATGAATGTCTACATTTCATCGTTCAAGTAGTGCTTGATTTTCGCACATTTCTTGCACTGCACGAAATATTCGCCACCTTGCGAATAACACTACGCTTCCATCCAGTAAAGTTATCCCAGCGTATGCTCTCCGATTTTGACGAAATTAGTGTCAATAGATGACAAATTTAAGTGTGCATAGTATGAAATTTGAAAAAAGACACGATCTCTCAATGCTCCCGTTTGGCAGATATATTTGCATCCGAAGAGGAGAAAACGCACAGAAAGTTTGACAAATTTTACACTTTCCAAATTTACTGCGAGTTTTCTCTTCTTCGGATGCAAATATCTGCGCTATTAGGAGAAAGTGTCGTTTGCAAAAGTCATACTAATTAAATTTATGGTCAAATAAGACTAATTTATTCCAAACGCTAAAAATGCGATGTCCTAAAAACTGCAAGAAATATGCACCATCTAGCGTCGGGAAGTAGTTTCTTGCGCCTTGCAGGTCAAAATAGGCGGAATCAAACAATTTCTTGCGGTTATTTTCTGCACGTGGTCTTTAACACACGAAACACTAATGCTTATTTCTTGTATTTGTTATTATTATTAATTGCTTATTATTCCTCACGCAGAAAAAAAACAATTTCTCCCAAGTGTTTTTTTACGGTAAACCCTGTTTAAAGTTGTCATACTTATTCAAATATTTTCATGTCATTCACACATTTTCCTCCTTTATTCACTACACCCTCCACAATGGCACAAATATTGAGATCATGATCACAAGTCATGATTCATACGTATCAATCACCCCTCGGATGAGTATAAAATCATGCCAAAAACCGGAATGTCGGCATCACTTTCAATTCCACTAATCCTCCTCCAGGAGGTAGCAAAATCCGGATAGTTTTCAAATTTTTAATAAATTTTGAAAAGAAGGATTTTTTTTACAAATTTTGAAAATCTGGGTAAAATTTCCATCATGAATTTATTCGTGGTGGGAGTTGTGCTAATTTTTGGGTGCCTCGTTCCTATGGGGGAGGCGCAAACGGGGGTTAACTGCGGGACAAAAAAGCCAACTCTAAAGACAGGAGAAACTTGTGAGTACAGAAATTCTGATTTGTTTTTTGTCGTTACCAGATTTGTTACCGAATTCATAAAATTTTATGGTCGGATCTAGTAACTGATTTGGTCATTTTTTTACCAAAAATGTTTACCAAATTTCGAAATTGATTTTTACTAAATTTGCAATTTCATTTTTACTAAAATTTGCAGCCTAATTTTTACAAAATTACAATTTTGACTTCACTTTTACCAAGTTTTCAGCTTAATTTTACCAAATTTGGTCGTGCACTTACATGTCCATACATTTTTTTACTTAACATTTTGGGTAGTTTTTTTACATTTCGTTACGTTACCAATTTGTAACATTTTTAACTCGTTTTATTTTTTGGTATTCTGTTACCAATTTGGTAACAAAGTGTATGTAGATGCCTTCCTACATCTTCATAGATTTGATAAATCCCCGAATTAAAAAAATAAATTTGCGTATTTTTGTTCAGATTATGTAAATCAAAACTGCCCCCTCGGAAAGACCTACAACTGGCCGGGAAATTCAACCATGCAAGCGCAACACTGCCATTGTTGGAGCTACTGCGGATATATTTGCGAATGTGATACATCCGCAGGAGGTAATTTTCGCAAAAAACATCACTAAAACTTTTTTATACAAAAAATTTTCACTAATTTTTTCAAAATTCTCATTTTACCCACAACTTTCAATTTAGGCGGGACCACAAAGAAAACTGCCCCCACAACGCAGCCAGCTGCGGCATGCAAGAATCCCCCAGTTCCGGCGGGATGTTCATGTAAGGAAAAGTTTGGCAGTGCAAAAAACATGTATTTCAAGCTAAAATTATACGGGAAATTTTTAGGGGTGCCAAATCCCGGTTGTACCAAAGGACCCACGTACGATACACAAAATCCCGCCACCCACTGCCACTGTTGGAGCCATTGTGGGTACATTTGCGAACCAAAAAGCGGCCCCGCCCCCGCCCCTGCAACAACACCGGCGCCTGCACCGGCATGTAAAAATCCCCCAGTTCCGGCGGGATGTTCATGTAAGTTGATACAATATGCTAAAGGGGCTATTTAATCCTAAAAATGGGCGGGAATTTTTTAGGGGTGCCGGATAAAGGATGTTCCAAAGGCGATACTTACAATACCCAAAATCCCGCGGCTCACTGTCACTGTTGGGGGCATTGTGGATACATTTGCGACCCGAAAAGTGGTCCCGCCCCCGCCCCGGGGACAACGCCTGCGCCTGCCCCGGCATGTAAACAGCCCTCAATTCCGGCAGGATCTACATGTAAGGATGACTATATATTTTGGGAGCTAATCTGTATTAAAAATGGGCGGGAATTTTTTTAGGGGTGCCGGATAAAGGATGTTCCAAAGGCGATACTTACACTACCCAAAATCCCGCCACCCACTGCCACTGTTGGGGACATTGTGGATATATTTGCGACCCGAAAAGCGCTCCCGCCCCCGCAACGACGAGAGCACCTGCTCCCGGCACGACTCAAGGAGCGTGCAAAGCACCTCCTTCGGTTCCATCGGGATCCACATGTAAGCAATCGAATCATGCAATTTGCATAAATTTAACTTTTTGGCAGGACGGCTTTTCTATGTAAAATAAACTTTATGCTTTTCGCGGGAAATATGAAATTCCCGCGTCCTTAAATAAACTCTGTTATAAGAATTGGCGCCAAATTTTCAGGGGCTCCAAGTCCTGGCTGTCCCAAAGGCGATACATACAATACGCAAAATCCCGCCACCCACTGTCATTGTTGGGGGCATTGCGGATACATTTGCGACCCGAGAAGCGCTCCGGGTCCTGCAACGACTAGAGCACCTGCTCCCGGCACAACACAAGCTACATGCAAATCACCTCCTTCAGTTCCGTCGGGATCGACATGTAACTAACGCAATTTAAAATTATATTTCCCGCTAAAAGTTTCGTAAGCATTTTGTCAATTTTTGTAGGGAATCCTGATCCTACCTGCCCCAAAGGACCGACGTACAACACTGCAACGACACACTGTCATTGTTGGGGACATTGTGGATATATTTGTGATCCGAGGGGTAAGTTGAGACAGCGAGATTTTTAGAATTATATATTTAATTTTCTTCTAATTTGTATAAAGCCGGACCCACAGCTGCTCCCGCAACGACCGTTAGAACATGCCGATCACCCCCAACTGTCCCGCCTGGCTCGAAATGTAACGTTACGGACTAATGATTTTCTAGATATATATTTATATTCTATCATTCCCACCATTTTCTATTTAGGGGTTCCTGATCCTAACTGCAATAACGGACCAGTCTATAATCTCCCGACCAACCCACCGTTTCATTGCCACTGTTGGGGGCATTGTGGCTATATTTGCGATCCTAGGGGTAAGTTGATGAAGCGGCGGGAAATTTCAATTTAAAATCGGACGCAAATAACAACTGCTAATTATTTCGTTTATAGGTAGCACCGGAGCGGTAACTGGAAGCACTACAATGGGAACGGGATCAACTTCGATGGGCACGGGTTCAACTACGTCCGCTACGGGATCAACTACTGCCATTACTGGATCGACTACTGCTGCTACCGGATCAACTACCGCCGCCACGGGATCAACTACGGCTGCTACCGGATCAACTACTGCCGCCACCGGATCAACTACCGCCGCTACGGGATCAACTACTGCTGCTTCCACGACAGGTGGAACTACTGGAACAACGGCGGGATCAACGACCGGCGGCACAACAGGGACAACCGCTGCCACAACGGCGGGCTCAACAACCGGCGGCACAACAGGAACGACAGCTGCCACGACGGCTGGATCAACGACTGCGGCGACAACTGTCGCAACAACGGCGGGATCTACGACTGCTGCAACAACTGCGGCAACAACGGTTGTAACGGTGGCAACAACTTAAAGTTACCAGCAGCAAGTTAGGCTTCCACGGGATCACTGTAATTAAATAACAGCTGATTTGGCCGCCATTTTAAAAACTATTTTCAATATTTGCATATAAATATCAATGTAGAGCAAATTATGCTTTAATAAAAAGCGAGAGCAATTCAAATTTATGAGTTTGATTTATACTTCCGCCGTAATATGGAGCTAGTTTGTTAAGCTTTAAATCATCAATCGAGCTGCCAAGAAAGCGCGAGGGATTTAAAATTTATTCCAGGTTAGCTTTGTTGTCACTCTGCCCCACTTTTTGAGTTGGCAGGATTTGGTTTTACTCAAAATCATGCCAAGTTTTTTGCATTTGATAGATATGAGATCGGTAATTTACTATAATTTAGCAAATTTCGTAGAATTTTATGTTTATGTAACGCTTCACCCCATTTTTTAGCCATTTCGGTTCAACTTGAGTTTTTGAGTTTACAAAAATTTGTTTTACTTGTTTCAAAAAAATTTCGAAATACTTTCGCTAAATAAAATTTGAGATCGGTGATCAATGTTAGTTACATATCTACATAATCTATGGAGTACCACACTTTTATGCAATTTCCCACTTAATCATACAACTATATACACATCCATTAAAAAACCTAGTTCCGTAGGTTCGATTTCTGCCTTTTCCCGGTAAACCGAGGGAAAAAATCCCGAAAAATTCCACGACACAAAAAGGTCAAAATATCCTCGAAACGTTTCAAATTTATGAAAAATGTTCAAAAATGTCGTGAAAGTGCTCGAAAATTTTCGATAACTTGGAAAATGGTTTGCACGTTTGCACACAAATCAAACCTGCTTTTAAGTAGAAAATTATGACCGAATCCCTGCACGTCCCCCACCCTTTCTGCAACAATTAAGAATGAATTGAGCCCCGTCATCTCGGCCTCATTCATCATCATGCCCACTCCTAACCGCGGATAACCCATTGTGCTCCGCAAATAGTAATGAATGATACATAATAACCACGCCACACCACACCGAGAACAGTGGCCGCGGAAGCGTGGGGACAGAGGGACAATGTTCCCACGGTTATTTGATGTCCCCCACAATCTGCTCATGTTATACAAACTCCTCCCTCCCTGATCCTGTAATGTTAATGCCCCCCGATTTTCCCCCAGCTTCCGCGGCCACTGATTATACGAGTATAACATATTTAAATCCAGTGGCCGCGGAAGCGTGGGGACAGAGGGACAATGGCCCCACGGTTATTCGATATCCCCATCATCTGTCCATGTTATGTAAACCCCGACCTCCCACTTATCCTGCAATGTAACTGTCCCCCGATGTCCCCCAGCTTCCGCGGCCACTGACTGAGAAGGATGGATTAGCCTGACTGACTGACTGATCGGACTGATGATAATCGTCATCATCATGACGCTTCTTCTTCTTCTTCCCTTCGTAATTAATGATTAATGCGAAGACACGGTTTTCCGGGGATGTTCTTCTCCAGCAGGGTCATTAATCACTTCGTGGGTGTGATGAATATGTACACACGGGTAGAAAAATATGGTCAGACAGATGAATACTATTCATTTCACGCCATGGTTTTGTAGCCCCGTAAATTTTGAAGAGTTTGAAAAATACGAGATACAATTTACACCAGGAGAAAGTAAATATTACAAATTTAAGTTACATTTGTTGAATCAATTTCTGCATCAATTTTGCACGTTGCAAAAATCGGTGTTTCCTGTTTAATTAGTATTTTGCTCGCAATTTCATATACATTTGTGGCATGAAATTTTACACAGTTACAAAAATTCCTGTTTTATTTTCTCACTATTTCTGCATAAAATTTCGAAATTGTTCAGTTACAAAAATCCCAAGGTTTCATTTTTTCGCAATGTCTGACATGAAATTATTTTGCCCAGTTACAAAACTTTCGCTCATTCTGTTATTGAATTTATACCGCAAAATAAAGCGTCTCCATGAATTTTAGTATAGATAATAATTTTATACCAAAAACAACACGCATTATGAATTTCGTCATAAATTTGTCACCTAAATTGCATGGCCCTTTTTGCCATGCAATTCTGTCCTGTTTGTGTGTGGTCCATCCCCCTTCGTCGTCGCACATATGGACACATGTCCACAGCTAAATCCCCCCCTCCCCATATTTTGAGTGACATCTCTCCCCCCTCATGAGCAAAAAAACCGCACCGTCACCCAGAAACCATTAAGGCTCGTTCGTTTCAAAGCATGATGTTGCACTAAATAAGGTCCTCTCTCTCCTTAAGGGTCCCATCCCATCCCTTCTCATGCATGATAATTATTCATCTCAGCTTCAGCCGAGAATAAATCCCACAACAATAACAATAACAATCATCGTCGTGGTCTGGTCTGGCCTGTCAAACTTTTTAACACCGTGTCTGCCACGGTATCAATCATCCTGTCGAGGTCTAAAGTGCCGACGTGACCACACTGGCAATTAAAAAGCATCAGATTTCTCCTCTCTCCAGAGAGATGAATTGTGGTGTGATGACTGATTGTCGACTTAATGATGCAAAATGTGTGTCCAGCAAGAAAGAAAAAATATGGTTTGTTTGATTAGATTTTGTTTTTAGGGGGGACACGAAATAAGGGATGTGACCCAATTTGAGCGGTATTTTATCATGAATCGTTGAGGGGTCCTACTTAACTGATCATAATTTAATACTTTTTGCGACTATAATTAATACTTTTTCCTGAATACTTCCTCTAATAATTAAATCTAACAATGAAGGTTCTCAACATATGCTCACAGATTTGGACCAAACTGGTGCGAATTGATTAATTAGTATGAAATTTGCAAATGGAACTATCTGCCAATGCGCAACTTTATAATCTAGAGCATTATTTATGTGCTTGTATCCAAATTTTGAGAAAATTCTTACTTTTATGTTTTTCTGTACATATTTCGTAAGTATTATATAAATGCATAGTTCAGAGATTTTTCGTAATTACATATCCTCCCACCGATGTCCTTGTATCAAAACTTAAAAATTTTGAATAAAAAATTATTGGTCTCGATCAAAATCTTCTAGCAATTTTATATTTGAGAAATCCTTTAAAATTTTTGACTTGTTGACCTCTCAAAAAAACTTTAATCATTTTTTTAAATTAATTAATGGTCAAAAATATCCTTGTATCAAAACTGACAATTTTTTACAATTTTTGATAATTTTATTCCCAACTAAACTATTTTAACCATTAAGTGCCACGTAGAAAGGATGTGGCTTCCTTTTTATGAATATTTCCTAATCAGCACACCTAAAAATCCTGTCTGTACGGCCCCTGCTTTTCTTTTTCGTGGGTGGAACTATTTAAAACACATCATTTTCACCTTGTTAATAAATATACACGTTAAAAAAGTGACTTAAGAACACAAAGGGACGGATGTGACGATGCATGAGGCGTCCAATTTTACTTTCATATTACACGTTTCTTTATTTTAATCCGAGACAAGATCCTGCATTTTCAACCTCTCACAAGAAATCGGGGGCCATACACACAATCCACGTCTTTTTTTTTCAATAAAACGACAAATTTCTCCAAAAAAAAGACAAATTTAGCACACTTTAGAAAAATGTTTGATAAAATTGGTAACGTCAGGTTGCGTTGGTATAATTTAAATATTGGAGCAATTCACGTAGTCCTTAGTAACTTCGTAGCCCGTGTGTTTTTGAAAAGAATTTTGTAAAAGTTTATCTGAGCAAGTTTACAAAAATTTGCAACTTAATTTTTCTTGCAATATTTTCTAAGTTCACAGAAATATCGGATTTTTGAAAGTTACCAAGACCTGGGTGAATTTCCTCATTATATTACAAATGGTTAATTTTGCAAATTGATCGACATAAATCTTCGACACATTTTCGCAATTTCTATAAAATTATGTAGTTAAATTTCCAAGTCAAAATATATTTTTTTATGCAAAAATACAGTAAAACTTTGTACAGGTGCCTACTATGAAATGGATGAAAAACATCAAAAAAGAGTGTCAACTGAAAAAAAAGAATCGAAAATTTGTAAGGTTTCACTCTATTCTGAGAAATTTCACTCCAATTTGCTACAAATTCAAGTTATCCTCAAATCATGACAAATTTAGGTAAAATCTTGGTAAAAGTTGGTAAAAGCTGGTAAAATTCAATCTCCTAGCAACATTTTCAATACCAAATTTACCAAAACACGTCCTTTCTGCACGGCCCCTACTTTCAGCTCCTTCCTTAGATTACCAATTCCATTAAAAAGGCAATGCAGCAAAAGAATAATAAATCTGAGCTTAGGATTTCTTTTATAATCGCTCATCGCCCAGAGTAAAAATGAAATCCTTAATTCCGACCGTATGGAAAATATTCTGGATCTGATATTTCGGGACTGTGTGTAAAGAATGTGATCCAATTTTGTACACTCTAAATAAATTTGATTAAAATTTACTCAATTTTGAGTAAAATTGCCACCAAAGCAACTATTGAGTAAAATTTACCCTGTCAAAGGTAAAATTTACTCAAGATTGAGAGATTTTTGCTCAACCTCGAGTAAATTTTACCTTTATATTGAACTTTGTAATTTAAAAATGAGGTAATTCACATAGGTCTTAGTAACTTTGTAAAATCCGTAACATTTCAAACTTTTACGAAAATTTCTGATGAAAATTCTGATATTTCTTGACTTGACAGCATTGTGCATCGCATTTTACATTCCTTCCTGAGAGAAAAGTAGGAAATTGTAGATCTAAAATTGCACCAGGAATTTGCGAGGGTTGAAAATAGCCTAAGTAAAATTTTACACATTACTTTATTTTTTAAGAAAAGTAAAGTTTTTACAAAAAAAAATCCTTTAAAATAACTTGATTGAAAAATCTTGCAAAATTTAGTTAAAACACTTTCACGTGGAAAACGCTTATCTGTCAAATATTTTATTTGTTATATACAAAATTTTGAACATGATGAAAGTTGTCAGCCACATACAATCTGAACACAATTTAGCGAAGATGAAATTTGTAAAATTTCTCATAATGGCGTGAAACCATACAAATTGTCGGTTTTTAATATTTTTTTCTCTTACAGATTTTCTCGACGACTTAAAACTCCTAGGTTTTCAAAATAATTCCGAGAAATTTTTCGAAATTGTAAAATTTAATTTTAGTTGG